TTTAGCCATTATTTCTTCAAATACTTTTCTCTCCTTTGTCTTTTCTGGGACACCCAGTGCATACTGTGGTTGGTTTGAAGATTCCACCAGTTTTGTAGTCTTGCTCTCTTTATTCTTTTATCTTTCTCTTCAGATTTGATCATCATAATTGTTCCTCTTTTCACATGTACTAATTCTTCTGTCTACACATATCAGTTGTTGAACTCGTGATTTTTCTTCCCCCCCAATTTTGCTATGTGTGTGTGGTCACCAGAGACAGAAGGAAAGCATTCCCCCATGGGGAATGGTCTTGTCGCAACCCTTTCTGCAGTTCGCCATTCTGTTGGGATTTGGGGCATGCGCACACGCATGCCTGGCATGTCTCTCAAGCTGTTGGCGCCAGGATTCCGACATATGTCGGCCATTTGAGTTGAGGCTCCCGTTAATCACCAGATCATGGGGCCAGCCCTAATATCCTACTTTTCTTACAGAAATTTCTCTCCAACTTTTCTTCCTGGATCTTAGGTGGTCTGTTATATATCTTGACCACAATCTTAGTTCACTTCTTTTTTTTTCCACCAATGTCTGCTGCTTTTCTGACCTGAGCTCCAAGTTATGTGAAACAGATGATTGCTCTGTGTTAGTCCTTCAGGTAGTCCCAACTCTAGAATAGATATAAGCAGGAATTTGTGAACAAAAGTTCACAATCCCTTTTACTCCCTTCAGGATTTTGGGCACACAGGCACAAACACCTGGTGTGTTTCACAAGCTTCCAGGTCTGGGACTCAAATCAAGCAGTTGGTCATGTGTGATCTAGCTGCCCCACCCACTATGCAACAGGCTGGCTCAGTGTTAGTATTTTTAAAAGCTCCCCATTCATTCATATATTAGGTCTGAGAAGCACTGCACTCAGCATCCTGCCTATATTATATGAACAGCAGGATGAAGGTGAAATTCAAGGTAGGTTACTTTGGGCCAAATTAACCAGGTAACCAAAATGCCCAGAGGATGTGTTTAATCAAGGCTGTAATCAAGTTGCCCGGGACCTCCCAGTTTTAGCAGAAAGTTTTACGTCTTGGGAAACTGTGTGGTCCTGGGTAAACCAAGATGCCTGGTCACTCTAGAAGGCAGTTGTTTAATGAAATGTAATGATCTGTAACAGCATTTCATTATTGAAAAATTCTGGATGTTTCTAAAAATTAGATCACAACGGGATTGTTTCTCTGTGTGTATATAATACACACACACACACACACACACACACACACACACACACCCCTACTATCTCAACTTTGTCTATGCATTTTTCTGCCAATTCAACTCTACAGTGAACACCTCTATTTATTTTATTATTGTATTTTTCAACTCCAGAATTTCCATTGGGTTCTTTTAAAAATAATTTCTCTTTATTTGATATCTCTAATTGATAAAACATTCTGTAATCTTTACCTAACCCAAAGTCAAAGAGAATCTTTTTTTTTTCCTGTGTTTCTGAATTTTACATGTAGATCCATCATCCCTCTCTTTCATAGTGGTGTGTGTGTGTGTATACAGATTATGAGATAAGGGTCAAGGCTCATTTTATTTCATACAGATATAGCTATTCTAGAAATACCATTATAAAGACTCCCCATTGAATTAACTTGGCAACTTATTCAAATGTATGTGCAGGTCTATTCATATTTTCCTGGTATCTCCATTCCATTTATTCTATTGATATATTAATCTACTTTTAGCCTACTACACAGTCTTGATTATTATAGCTTTAAATTAAGTCTTGAAATTAGATAGTATAAGCCCTCCAGACAGAGAGAGACATAGAGACAGAAAGCGAGAAATCACCCCCTGGGGGGATGGTCACGCCGCAATCCCTTCTCTTTCATTCTCCTCTTGGGATCTTGGGCACGCACGCACATGCGCCCGGCGTGAGTTTTAAGCCACCGGGTCCGGGACGCAAACTGTGGTCGACTATGTGGGAGTCCAGCGACATAGCCATTACGCTAACTGCTGGTTCCCCCAACTTGTTACTTTTCAAGGTAGCTTTGGCAGTTTTTATTTTAATTTTTACTTACCAGAGGCTTGTGTGCTTGCTAGAGACAAAGAGAGGAAAAAGCACCACCCCCACCCTCACCCAGTGGGGTGTGGTCACACCACAATCCTTTCTCCATGTCTCTATCCTGCCAGGATTTTGGGCATGCATGCACATGTGCCTGGCATTTCTTTCAAGCCACGAGGGCCAGGATTCAAACTGAGGGATGGCTATGTGGGATCTTCTTCCTTTAACCACCAGTTTATAAAATCAGCCCCTTGAGTTTTACGGTTTATGATGATAAAATGTTTTTAAAAAGTCATCTGTCTGATTCTGTGTAAGTCTGAACAAATACCTGAAAACATCGAGGCAAAGAGTTAAGAAGTGAGATGAGTTGCCAACTCAATGTTTTGTTCTTCCTGTGTTCCTCCCATTTGTTCCATCCATTTCATAGAAATAGGAAAAAAAATTGCATCAGGATTAGGTACGCTTCACAGAAATTTTTTAAAGAATTATTTAACTTTATTTATTTTTTTAAAATTTTAATTTGGCTAGAGAATGACAGAGCAAGAGAGAGTGAGAGAGAAAAAGAGAGAGAGAAAGAAAGTGAGAAAGCAAGCCACTAAGTCCAGTATTCGAACTGCAACTGGCCATGTGGGAGTCCAGTGCCAATAAACACCATGCCACCTGCCAACCCCCACAAAAAATTTTTAAGTCACAGTATGAGAAATAAAAATATTCTGGTTCAAAGTTTAGGTATAAACAAATGTAATTAAAAACCATTAGAGTATTAAAGTCAATTTGTAGCTTTGAAATTGGTTCTAATATTTCCCATTCTACAAAAAGCCTATCCAATTAAAAAATATAAAAGAACACATCCAGCATATCTTTAATTAAAAATCTAAAAGAGGGAAATTTTCAAGTGTAGACTTTAATAGTAAAATAGATTTACAAATTTCATATGCAATAAATTATCTGCCATTTAAGTTAAAAACAATGTTTTATGCATAAACATTTTTGTAAACAGAAAAGATATGAAAGAGTAACATTAAAAACAAAATAGTTTCCTCTGGGACAATAGTTGTATGGGAATGTTAAATGCTTTCAGCAATAGACTACAACGTATATAGATGAGATTCTACTCCTGTATAGTTTATATAACTAATATTAACTTAAAAAAAAAAAAACCCTTTGCACTTTTTAAATACATGTCTTCATTGCAGTAGAAATAACACATTCAACTGTTAAAGATGATATAAAAATAAGTCACATTCAAATACTAAACTATAATTATTTTTCCCAATTATCTTTTGGGCAGCAATTTGTTAAATATATATTTAGCATTGTTCTTGAATTACTTAACAAATAGACTGAAAAAGTTACTAGTAAACCCTCACTGTGAACATTTTCCTTAATTTTTGAAATACCTTGATATTTTATTAGAAAATGAGTGACATGTTCTGAATATTTAAAATATCCTTTTCCCTTTTTATCCAACCATCAATGACAAAATACACAGTGCATGGAACATTATTTGTCACATAAGACTTAAGATCAGTATCTTTACGATATAAAAGCCTTTTTTTGAGAGATTTTTGCTACAGGGTACATGTTCTTGCCAGAGAGACAGAGACAGAAAGTGAGAAATTGCCCTCTGGGGAAATGGCCACACTATAATCCCTTTTCCTCTATTCTCCACTAGGAATTCTGGGCACTCACACACATGCGCCAGGCTTGTTTTATGCTGCCTGGCCCTGGACTCGAACTGTGGTCAACTATGTGGGAGTCTAGCACCTTAAGCACTACATCACCTGCTGGTCACAAGATATCTAAGTCTTATAAGTCCATAAACGAAACATCTATTTTGTTTGGATGGATGGATATTTCAAAAGAATTGTAAGTGGCCAAAAACCTCAACACATGTTCACCCTCTAACAGCTAAAATAAGCAGTTAAACTAAGACTCTTTGCATCATCTATCAAATTTATAATGAATTTAAAAAATGATGTCGATTGCTTGTGGGGATTCACTGGCACTCTCACTTGTGTTGGTATAATAAACTGATAGATTTTTTTTTTTTTTTTGGAGAGGTTTTTGCTATAGGGCGCATGTGCTCGCCAGAGACAGAAAGCGAGAAATCACCCCCACCCCACCCCTGGGGGATGGCCACGCCGCAATCCCTTCTCCTCCATTCGCCTCTTGGGATCTTGGGCACGCATGCACACGCGCCCGTCGTGAATTTTAAGCCACCGGGTCCGGGACTTGAACCATGGTCGACTACATGGGAGTCCAGCAACATAGCCATTTTGCTAACTGCTGGTCCCCAATAAACTGATAGATTTTTGAGGGACAGTTTGACAATCATTAGTTATTAAATGCTTTAAAATGCCTTCATTATTTAGTACTTCATACCAATTAGGATTTCCATGTTATCTTTTTTATAAATAGAGTTAGTTAAAATAGAAACTAAAAGAGGGCCAGCTGGCGGCATGATGGTTAAGGTGACTGGATCCCACATGGCTGTCTTATGTGGCTTAAGTCTCAGACCTGGTGGCTTGAAAAACACACTGGATGTTGTGCCCAAAATCCCAAAAGCAGAATGGAGGAGAAAGGACTGTGGTGTAACCATGCTCCATGGGAAACTTGTGGACCTCTTACTGGAGCTACTTGCATTTAGTTTGTTCAAATCCAACAGAATCAGGATGGGCAGCCTTTCCTGATACTAGAGGCAGAAGAGAGGGATGAAGGATCAAGTCCTGCCTTTTTGCAAATTTTACCCTTCATTACAGAGGATAAAGAAGAGGTACGAGCTTTTTTCCCCACCAAAGAAAGTCATTGTATTATATTAGAACTTATTACTTCTCTCTTTTTTTCTTTTTTTTTAGAGAGATTTTTGCTATAGTGCAGGTACACTTGCCAGAGACAGAACGCGAGAAATCACCCCCCAGGGGGATGGCCACATTGCAATCCCTTATCCTCCATTCTCCTCTTGGGACCCTGAGCATGCATGCACATGCACCTGGTGTAAATTTCCAGTCATTGTGTCCGGGACTCAAACCGCAGTCAACTACATGAAGTCCAGTGACGTAACCATTACGCCACCTGCTGGTCTTAGTACTTTTCTAAAGTTCACTCAAACTTCTTTAAGTAATGATTTAAGATGGTCTAGATGATATTCTTCTATGAAGGATTCTGCTTGATTGAAAGCTTTTATTTTCACCAGAATGATAATGATTTCTTTGACTTCATCTCTGAAACCAAAACACAAGGCACGTATCCTATTAAAAATGCAGTGTGGGAAGGCAAAGTGGTAAATTCCAGACCCAACCCTCAGTCATTAATCTAATAGAACAAAGTTTACCTTAAGCCAGTATCTACAATGGCATAAAATACAGAGATGCTACTGTCTTCATATAAAGTCAAATATAGACTATGAGGAGATGTATTTTGGCAAATTTCAATTTGAATGACTAGAAAAAAATAAAACAGCACAGAGCAAGTCCATCATCAGAAATTTCAGTCATGCTGTGCTGCCTTCAGCTTGTATGGGCCATCATGGTGGGAGCGATGCTGGGAGTATTTACACCACGGACATCAGCTACAAGTGCTACAAATCTGGGCTCTTGTATTGATTTATTTTTGGAGAGAGGGTTTAACCAAACACCCCCGTGTTAAGGGAGATATAGCTACTGTTGAGTAAACACCAGGCTGCTGACCCACACTTAACAAGTGTTCAATCTTTAAAAATATCCAAGAAAATTAAAAATACATTTTAAAATGCTTAATAAGAGATTTCTGATTTATAATTTTAATTTTAAATTCTCCAGTGCTATAATTTTTTTGGAAGTACTTTTTTGGGGAATTTCAAAATACGAATATGCATAAGGTGTGACTATAAAATAGCCATTCTAAACTGTGAATATATTTTCTAGCTGCATAATATTGCAAAGTCCGAACAAAGTTTTGAAAGTACTGTATTGTGAAAGTATACATTTTCCTAAAAATTGCTGACAGCATATAGAGTCCTTGAACAATACTTACGGAGGTAAAACATATGCATTACCTGAATTCACTTCTAGATAATTTAAGTGCAGACTGCAATAAAAACTGAATGAAGTTTTCTAGTTGAGGAATAGATGTTCTCATAGCAGAATTTTCAAACCATTTTTCTGGTAGACATGCCGCTACCTATTAACCAGAACACATGATTGGTTTATAGCAATGACAGTTATCTGAGGATGGTTGCTAACATAATCTCATAATGACCCTGCAAGCTGAGCATTATTCCTTTTTTTGTTTGTTTTTAAAATTTGTGTGCATTCGCTGGAGGGAGACAGAAGTGAGAAAGCACACCCCAGTGGGGATAGCCATGCCATGATCCCTTTTTCTCTTGGGATTTTGGGCTTGCATGCACACATGCCTGGCATGTTTTTCAAGTTGCTGGGTCCACGACTTGAATTGTGCAGTTGACCATGTGGGATCCAGCTGCCTTAACCACCAAAACACTGCTGGACCGCTCATTTTTATAGTTTGTGGTCAAATAAAAATTTTGAAATTTTCTTTGTTAAATGTTAAATACATTTTACAATTTTTTTCATTAATGTAAGAGCTTAAAATAGACTACTCTTTATTAACACCCACTGGTAATACTTATAATTCTTTCTATATTGTTGGATTCCTGAGCCATTAAATCTGTACAAGAAATTTTACAATCAAGTATCATAAATTCCTAGACACAAAACACTTAACCAGCTCAACTATATAATACAAGCAGGGTCAGCGACTCGTGTGGTGGTTAATTCAGCTATATCCCATGTGGCTGACTGTGTGGTCTGAATCCCAAACCTGGTGACTTAAAACACATAGTAGGCATGTCGGTGCACATGCCCAAAAATCTTAAAAGGAGGGAGATATGGAGGAGAAGAGACTGTGGCATGACCCCGCGCAAAGGGTGCTTTCTTGCTTTCTCTCTCTGCTTCCAGTGAACACATGTGCCCAAATTAAATTAAAACAAAACCAAAAATGTATTTTTTTTGGAAAGATATTCAGTCGCCTAGTATATGATCTACATAAACAAACATAAATTTAGAGACAAAGAAACAAATGATTCTAAGACATACGGGATAAAGGAAAAATTACTTTTTTTTTAAAGTGGTTTTCTTCCACGAGAGAGTGCAATGGGGTCTTCAGGCCACGATCCATCCTCAGCCTCAGTCAGTCTGCAGCAACGACTTGTGTGCACGTACCCAGAATGTATGTGGAGGCCTCAGGAGACCTCAAGAACGGGGTCCTTTCCATGTGGGTCCAGCACTGCAGAGCACTGCACTACTAGCTGGCCCAATGATGATTTTGACCCTCTACCAATTTAATAGTTATAAATGTCCATGGTAGCAAAATTAGTCAATAAAGTATATTTAATGTCGGGAAAAAACAAAAAACAGTATTTCCTCATCACCCCCCTAAAGGTAATACATGTCTTTTAGGGGACCACCAGGTGGCGTGGTGATTGAGATGCTGAACTCTTACATGGCCAACTGTGGTTCAAGTCCTGGACCTGGTGGCTCATTTTCTCACTTCCCTCTCTCTCTCTCTCTCTCTGTTACTTCCTAGTGAGCATGCATGCCCTATAGAAAATTAAATAAAATTAAATACAACATTTTTTTAAAAAGAATTTTTTAAAAATGTGATTTTTAGTAAAGTTATGGTACAAACAAAAAAGTTAAAAAAACTTTAAAAACAAAAACTTTTTTGTAACAGAAATAAGAAAAAAAAGGGAGTAGGCAAGGGAAAAAAAGCCAGAGATAATACTACCATACTATTTAAGACAGATTATGGTATATGAAGGTTAAGATCCCTATTTATAAAGTATAAAGTTGGGGAAAAAATTAAAACGCACCAAATATATACTGTGAAATACACTAAATAAAACTTCTGGGATATACTCTTTCTAAAATAAATCTGGTTGGTGGTGATTAAAAGCATGGCTGAGGGAGCTAGCAGGTGGCATGGTGATAGGGCACTGGACTCCCATGTGGCAGGCCATAGTTCAAGTCCTAGACCTGGTGGTTTGCTTTCTCACTTTCTCACTCTCTTGTCCCCCTCTCTCTCTCTCTCTGTGCTTCTCTGATAGAATTAGAAAATAATAATAATAAATAAAATGTTTCTTTAAAAAATGGCTGAGAAAAGATATTTATCCTATTCTTTAATTACCTTTCTCTTTTCTAATTTTCTTATTTATTTATTACCAGAGGGTATGTGCACTTGCCAGAGAGAAACAGAGAGAGAGAGAGTGAGAGAGAGAGAGGGAGAAAGGACTCCCCACTGGGGCATGATCATGTCACAATTCTTTCTCCTCCATTTTTCCATTTGGTGGAGACTGTAGGCATGGTTGTATGTGTACCTAGTGTTTCTCAAGCAGCTGGGGCCAGGGTCTGAACTAGACCCTGGGATCCAGCTCCCTTAACCACTAGGCTATGAAGTGGGCCCAACGTTTTTCAATAATGAAAAAGAAAAAAATGCAACACATTGTGACTGGCCAAAGGTCCTATGAGTTTTGTTATGTAAACTACTTATCTTTTTAGAAAGTTTTAAAACTTGTCTTTACTGGCTTGGCATTTAATGAAATGTCATTTGCACTTAACTTCCCATTGTTCTAGATCACAAGTCACAGTAAAATTCTCATGTGATCATATAGCTTTTCCATAAATGATTCCAGGACTTACAGTCATGTATGCTTGGCCTGTTTTTCTAGCCATGCTTTGCAGGAAGAAATGTCCTGTAAATATAATTTCCTCTCCTCTATTCACAGTAGACCCTCATGATCAAAGCAGACTAAACTAAACCTAGGACACTTAACAATGTGTTTAATGAATGAAATCTAAAATTTTAGATCTATACTGTTTACAACTTCATGACTAATAATCATAGCTAGAAAAACCATGGTTGGATAAGAATTGATATGTAAAGTTACATATGTTGTTTTCTAAAACAGTTGTATCAAAAGAAGTATTTTACCATATTCTTAAAAATTTCTGGGGGACATTTAGGTAGTTTCCAACTATCTTTTGTTATAATGATACAATATTCTTTGTACTTAGAATCTAATATGCATCACTGAATTTTGATTTGGGATAAATTCTTAGAAATAAATTAACTACATCAAAGGGCACAAACTTCAAAACGTTTTGTATCCATCATGCCAAAATATTCCCCAGAAGAATGGTAACTCTCCTGCCATGCAGCAGGCTTTCCCAGGACACCACAAGGCACACTCCAGGTGAATGGTGCCTATGAGCACATGACCACATTGGGAATTACAGAGCAAGTGACACAGCAAATAATGTCTGCCAACACGACTGGTGATATAAACACACTTACTGTAATAATCTGCATTTCCCTCATTATTAGTACTCTAATATTTTCCACATATTTATGGGTTATTGTTACATCTCCTTTTTTGGTGATTTAACTGCTGCATGTTTTTGGACCATTTAAAATCAGAACAATAAAATTTTTACTGATTTGTAAAGAGCTTTCTTATTTAATGTGGCTGTTAATCCCTAGTATGTGTTATAATTTTTAGTTTTTAGTTTCTCAACTTCCTTTTTAGCGTTTTATTCTAGATCACTTCAAATATAAACAATAGAATGGATAGTATGGTAAGTTCCATGAACAATGTTTTAACAGTGATCAGTTAATCCCAATGTATTTTTGGTTTGTTTTTTGATCTACTGAAGTTTTATATTTTTACTTAATTATTCCTTTTTCTTTCTTCTTTTGCTATAAGATTAGAAAGGAATCACTTATACTCAGACACATTCACTTGTCCTCTTAGTGTATTTTATAGTTTCATTAAAGATTTTTTTTTCTTTATGCATGATAAAGCATGTGTCATGCACATTTGAGAGAAAGAGAGAGAAATAAGAACTCCCTCCACAGGGTCTGGTCACACTGAGATCTTCCTTGGGTCCTCCAGCCCACGGGATCTCAGGCACTCATGCCATGCCCACCCAGCATGTTTCAGGACGAGTAAGCCAGTGATTCAAATGGTGGCTGACAAAGGGCACCTGACATCTCTTGAGCAGCACATTACTGCTGGACCATGGAGCTGGCCCTGTAGTTTATTTTTTCACATTTTTAATTTCACCTATGATTTATATTGGTATATAGTGAGAGGTAAGGCTCTAACATTCTTTTTGCAAACAGTCAGTTGTCCCAGTATAATTCACTTAGTAATTTTTTCTTTTCCTGCTGTTTATATTTCAAATTAGGATACTAGTTCTTAATTCTGAAGGAGCTGCTTCTGGGTTTCTATTAAATTGATTTGTCTATTATGTGAGTATTGTAATCTTAAAATTTTAATCATTTAGCTACAAAACTGATTTTAATATTAATTTATTTATTTTAAAGATCTATTTATTATAATTAATATTTTTAATTTGCTATAGGGTACATGTACTCACCATAGAGAGACACAGAGAAAGAGAGAAAGTAAGAAAGCAAGCTGCCAGGTTTCGAACTCCAATCGCGGTCTACCATGTGGGAGTCCAATGCTTTAACTACCATACTACTTGCTAGCCCTTATTTTTAAATTATTTTTCTGTTTTTTTTTTTTGCCAAAGGGTCAGTGTGGCTGCAGAAGACAGAGGGAAGGAGGGAGGGAGAGAAAGCAAGCAAGCAAGCAAGCAAGCACACTTCAGATAGGATGACCATGTCTCAATCCTTCTCCTCCATTCTCCTCTTGGAATTTGGGCATGCATACATATCAGACTGGCATGTCTTTCAAGCTGCTGGGTCTGGGACTCAAACTGCACAATTGGCCAAGTGCAATCCAGTTGCCTTGCTACCAGGCCACTGGCTGAACCACTGATTTTTTTAAACGATAAAATTAACTCGGTTTTCTACACAACTTACCTGGTTGCACTTTTTAACAACATCTGGTCCAGGTATGTCATTAAGAAGAGCTATAATAAGGTAGCGATTGAGCAGCTTCCCTAGTCCTAGCTCGTGCAAGGCATCATCTGGGAGGAGTCCATTCCAATGAAGAATGTTACGGAAAAGCTAGAACAAAATACAACTTAATATGAACATTTTTCCCAAAGAAACTGCAACAGTTTAAAACATAAAGAGCTAGTCAACCTCTTAAATGCTCACTACAGTTAGCACTGTTGGAACTGCCAATAAGGAATAGAAAATATCCCTGCATAAGCACCTGATTATTTTTTCCATATATTTGCTCATCCTTTTTTACTTTCCAGGATAACCATCCCACATCTGTCTCAATTAACTTCACTTGGGATTTTAGGCACACATCCCCACACAATGTGGGTCTGGAACTTGAAACACACAGCTGGCTAGGTAGGATCCAACTGCCTTAACCACCATGCCATGGGCTGGCTGACTTGCCTTTACTCTCGGAAACCTTTTGGTTAGCTTCCTTGAAGCCACTCTCTCCTGATACTCTGAGGCTCACAACTCATCCACGCTTTGAACACTGAACCCTCTCTGCTCCTTTGCTTCCCAAGGTCTATCCTTGGCTGTTTTCATGTCTCAGCAGTTTCCTCAGACCTTGTCTTTCATAACTACGGCTCACTCCCAGATCTCCAGCTCAGATCTGGCCCCTACAACTCAGACTCAATCACCTGCCTCCTGCCTCAGTATCTCTATTTGTCCCACAAATATCTTCGATTCGATATGTCCAAGATATAGCAAATCTGTATTATCCCTCGCAATCCTTTTCTTCTTCTTGTATCCCCTAAATTGTCCCCAGAGAATGTCGTAAGTTACCAAGTTCTCCAGCTCAGATCTGGCCCCTAAAACTCAGACTCAATCACCTGCCTCCTGCCTCAGTATCTCTATTTGTCCCACAAATATCTTCGATTCGATATGTCCAAGATATAGCAAATCTGTATTATCCCTCGCAAGGGATACCAAGTTGCCAAGGTCAGACACTTGGCTGTGACCCTACTTCCTTCACTTGTAATTAGTTATTGAGTCCTCTGAATGCTTCATCCTAAACATCTTTTACCATCTCTACTGACACTGACTGAACAATAACTTTGATCTTTTAGACCAGGGGTTAGCCAACCGTGGCCTGTGGGTTAAATCCAGCCTCCTGCCTGCTTTGGTAGGGCCTGTGAGTTAACAGTTGGAAATTACATTTTAAAAATACTTTTGAAAAATCAACAATATTTTGTAACACGTGAAAATCACATGACAAGTTTCACTGTCTATAAGTAAAGTTTTATTGAAACAGCCATTATTACTTGTTTATATATTGTCTATGACTTTTTATGTTATAGTTAGAGAGTCTATTAGTTCAATAGAGACCAAATGACCTGAAAAATCCTACAATATTTAACATCTGGTCCTTAGAAGAAGCATATCATTCATTCTTCTATAGTACACTGAAACTGAAAAGTGTATTTTCACTTTGGCAGGTTTCTGCTCACCTTTAGTCCAGACCAGAACTGTCTTTCTTGGAACTTTGAATGTGGCGATGCTTTGTTTTCTACAGCACTAATTTGGAACAAAATAAAGGAGAAAAATGCAAAGAACTGTTACTCTTTATGAACCAGAGTTTAAAAAACAGATTTCTTTTCAAAAGAACCAAACACCCTTGATGTACTATAAACTGAGATACACTGCAGATACCTGTCAAAATTACAAATACATGCATACTCTGACCGAGTAACTCCATTTCAGAGAATGGCTCTTATACATATGCACGTACATGGGATGGCAGCTCTGTAAGATTATTTACACCAGCGCTGTTGGTTAACACTGCACCACTCATATGCCCATCAATAACAGGACTCCTGCACGTCGGCATGTTATGCAATTTAAAAAGAATGAGGAAACTACTTAGATGGTGACATAAAAAAATCTCAAAGATGTACTAACTGAAAAAAGGTGAGGCCAGCAGGTGGCATGGTGGTTAAGGGACTGGGCTCCCATATGGCCAGCCGCAGTTCAAGTCCCAGACCTGCTGGCTTGCTTTCCCACCTCCCTCACCTCTCTCTGGTCAAATTAATAATAACGAATAAAATAATTCTTAAAAAAAAAAAAAAGGTACTGGGAACCAGCAGTTAGTGTAATGGCTATGTCGCTGGACTCCCACGTAGTCGACCGTGGTTCGCGTCCTGGACCCGGTGGCTTAAAACTCACGCCAGGCTCATGTGCGTGCATGCCCAAGATCCCAGGAGGAGAATGGAGGAGAAGGGATTGTGGCGTGACCATCCCCCCTGTGAGGTGATTTCTCGCTTTCTGTCTCTATGTCTCTCTCTGGCGACCGCGCAAGCCCTATAGCGAAAACCTCTCCCCCCCCCCAAAAAAAGGTACAAATACAGTTACAACTGTTTACAAAATACTTCCTTTGCTAAAGGTGGGGAAAATACAGTTATAACGTATGTAGTATGTACTTCTGTTTGAAGAAATTCTAGAAAGAGACACAAAAATTACTAACAGCAATTATCCATGATTACAGTGAAGATACTCAGTGATTATTGAGAGTAAATATTGAGATCAGCAGATGTCATAATGATTACATCCCAGAACTCCCACATAGTTGACTGCAGTTCAAGTCCTGGACCCGGTGGCTTATAACTCATGCCAGGTACATGTGAGTGAATGCCCAAAACCCTGCAAGGAGAATGGAGGAGAAGGGACAGAGGCGTGGCCATTCCCCTGGGGAGGGGGGTGATTTCTCGCTTTCTGTCTGTCTCTTGTCTCTCCAGCGAGCCCACGTGTCTTAAGCAAAAATCTCTCTCAAAAAAAATAAATAAATAAAAGAGAATGAATATTATCACATGCATATATGTCTACAGATGGGAAGGGCAAAAACTGAGTGAGTGTGCTGCGTAAAACTTTTCATTTTAAAGAGATATAAAAATAAATGACAAACAGACTTTTGAACCATGTATATGTGTTACTCATGAAAATATTACAAAACAAATCTTAGTAGGGCAGAGTTTCTATATGCAGACATCTCTTCATGACTCAAAAAGAATCAGAAAGTGTTTAAAGACCAGGGTTTAGCCAACTGTGGCCTGTGTGTTAAATCTAGCCTCCGGCCTGTGGGTATTCACTGGCTAGCTCTTGTTCATCGATGATTACTATACCTGATGCTTGTGAACTTAGCAAAAGTAAGACCAAGTATCAAATACAAATTGTTTCATAGTTTAAAGTGAATGCAGAATTCTGGCCCTAAGTGAGGCTCCAGGTGTCCTGCTATGCTTCCTCCTAGCTAGGCATTCTTCTGCTCTGAGCACTCTTCATCCTAATGTCCTGTGAGGTGGGCACTAATTTCACCCCCACTGTACAAATAAGTACAGATGCATAGAAGCACAATGTCAAATATGTAGTATGGTATGTCCAGGCTATGAAACCTGTATTCTTTTTTTCTATTAAAGGTTTTTGCCCTAGGACGCATGTACTTGCCAGAGAGCGAGAAAATGAGAAATCCCCTCCTCTCTTAGGGCGAATGGCCAGGCTGCTAGCCCTTCTCCTCCATTCCTCTCTTGGGATTCTGGGCATGTGTGCATACACATGATTTTTCTTTTATTTAACAAAACAAAACAAAAAAGCTTAAACAATTTATTTTTTAGTTTTTAAAGAATTATTTTATTTAACTTTATTTATTATTATTGTTACTTTCCAGTTTGATCAGACAGACAGAAGCAAAGTGAGAAAGCAAGCCACCAGATTCGGCCATGTGGGAGTCCAGCATCTTTAACCACCATGTCACCTGTTGGCTCCTTAATTTGCTAATTTTTAACTTTAGTCAGCAGGTGTCATGGTGGTTAAGGTGCTGGACACTCCCACATGGCTGACCATGGTTTGAGTCCTGGACCTGGGTGGATTGCTTTCTCACTTTCCTTTTCTCTCACTCACTCACTCTGTCTCTCTCTGGTCAAATAAATTAATGAATAAATAAAATAAAATAATAATAAATTGTTTAAGGGGCCGGCAGGTGATGTGGTGGTTAAAGGCGCTGGACTCCCACATGGCTGACCCCCACAGCATGATTTTCAATCCACCAGGACTTGAACTGTGGTCGGCCCTGTGGGAGTCCAGTGATGTAACCACCATACCATCTGCTAGCCCCCAAAACCTGTATTCTCTACCATTCTATTTCACCTCTCATGCTCCTAGGATGGATTAGGAAAAAAACAAAAAAATCTAGGTCCAAGTACGGTGCATTGTGTATGACATATAGTAGGTGCCTGAGAAATATTTGTTAAAATCAAATTTGCATTTTTTTTTTTTAATATTTGCACCAGAGGGTGCATATGCTCATAGGAGAGAAACTGAAACATTTGTTAAAATCAAATTTGCATTTTTTTTTTAAATATTTGCACCAGAGGGTGCATATGCTCACAGGAGAGAAACTGAAACAGATTATGAGATTTTTCTAGGCAAGCAATAACTCAGAGGAAAGAAACTTGCTCTTACAAAAGAAAGGCCCAGCTGAATTGATAGGCGAGATAGCTGATGCACACAATACCCGGAATAGACTCAGGAGGGGCAGAGATGACAGATAAGCCAAGGTCTCATTCTTGACGATGGCTACATGACATTCTATGCCTCATGCTGCTGGAAGGACAGGGACATTCCAGCCACCTCCAATGTAAGCAGCAGCTGGATTTGCTTCTCCATTTTAGCACGTGCCTCACAGTGCCCTCTGCTAAGTAGAGCCTGCTCCATTTCTCAGAGCAAAAGCCTAGATAATCATTTAGTTTTTGTGGGGCTTTTATGGGGCCAGCAGTCCTCTGGTATATTCTCCCTAGAGTTCCTAGACTAGAGGGATAGATTTGTGAATAGGAGGAGACCTCTTAGCCAATGAACTGGAGAGGGTGAGTTCAGATGACTCATCTTCCAGGATACTTGGGGTCATGCGAAAGCTCTGAGAGGGATGTTTATGAACAATTGGGGAAGAGAGAACTCTTGTAATATTATAGCAGAGATAAATAATTCATAAGGTGAAAGCCAGAATAAAATAGAAATTATTATTTTTAAACCCAGCATTTGCTTCAATTCTGAGTTCCACTAGCATCTAGACGAGAGCTTAGAGAATTGGCGAAAGAGCAAGGAGAGAGAGAAAGAGAAGACCAAGAAGCCTGTACGTCAAATAACTTACTAAAAGAAAAGTTGCTTTTGTACTAACATTACTAGCTGTTTTCCCCTTTTATATGACTAACGGTCATAGAAAGGGCACCGACCAGGTGTTCTGACTCTGCCTTATATACTCCAGCCTCAAAGCAGAGGTTGCATTTAAGAGATACTTAGCAAGGGGCCGGCAGGTGATGTGGTGGTTAAAGGCGCTGGACTCCCACATGGCTGACCCCCACAGCATGATTTTCAATCCACCAGGACTTGAACTGTGGTCGGCCCTGTGGGAGTCCAGTGATGTAACCACCATACCATCTGCTAGCCCCCAAAACCTGTATTCTCTACCATTCTATTTCACCTCTCATGCTCCTAGGATGGATTAGGAAAAAAACAAAAAAATCTAGGTCCAAGTACGGTGCATTGTGTATGACATATAGTAGGTGCCTGAGAAATATTTGTTAAAATCAAATTTGCATTTTTTTTTTTTAATATTTGCACCAGAGGGTGCATATGCTCATAGGAGAGAAACTGAAACAAAAAGAGAAGGAGAAGGGAAAAGAGAGAGAAAGCAACCTGCAATGGGGTGGGGTGTGGTCATGCTTCAATCCCTTCTTTTCCATTTCTCCACCTAGTTGGGATTTTGGGCACATGTATGTGCCTAGTATGTTTTAAAAATCACTGGAGCCCCGATTTGAACTGCACACATTGGATGTGAGTGATCTGGCTCCTTTAACCATCAGGCCATGGGGCCAGCCCTAGATTTGCATCTAAGGAGAATATATATGCATGCTTTGAAAGTGCTATAGTTTTGTATTATACTCCCTAACAATCTGTATTACATAGTTAACTATTTCAAACAATCTAAAAATTAGTATCTCTTACCTCTTTGGATACAAAGGAATAAAAACATCATCTTCGATTGCCTTCTTTATTCTTGAAACAATGGATTTAAGTAAGTCCTATTATTTAAAAATTTGAAAAGCATCAGTAATATCTGTAGGTTGAAATATATCTATCAAAAATAATAATTTAAAGAACAGTGCAAATTTGTACTCACTCACAGAGTCAGCCGTTAAAATAGCTTTCAACTGGTACAAGAGAACCTTACTCATCCATGTTGTTGCATACGGCTGTCCTTGGAGGGTGAAAAGCGCCCCTTAATGGGGCATGGTCATGCAGCAATCCTTCCTCCTCCATTTCCTATCACCTGGGGATTCTGAGCATGCACATGCATGCACCCTGTGTGTTTTTCAAGCTTCTGGAGCTGGATTCAAACTGCAGTTGGCTATGTAATGAGACACCTGGTTCTCTTAACCCCTAGCCTATGAGGCTGGCCATGGTATCAGTCTTCATGTAAGACCATAGAGTTTAAAATATTTATTTTCCAGGACCAGCAGGTGTTAGGGTAGTTAAGGCACTGGACTCCCACATGCCTGACCGCAGTTCAAGTCTAGGACCTGGTGGCTTGCTTTCTTTCTCTCTCTCTCTGGTGAGTGCATGTGCCCTATAAAGATAAAATAATAACAGGAGGGCCAGCAGATGGTGTAATTAATGGTTGAGGGGTGGGATGTCCACGTGGTCAATCATGTTTGAGGCCCAGATCCAGTAGTTTGAAAGTCATGCTGGGCATGTGTACATGTGTGCCCAAAATCCTGAGAGAAGAATGGAGGAGAAGGGACTGCAGCTTGGCCATTTCACTGTGGGGGTGAGGGGAGGTGTGTGATTTCTTGCTTTATTTTTCTCTGTCTCTCCAGCAAGCACATACACCCTATAGCAAAAATCTCATTAAAAAAAATAATAAAATTAAATAGTTCTTAGAAATTTTTTTTTCAAGTATTAGCAATATTTCTTATAAAGAGATACTGTTCTTATTCTTCAAAAATAATCCATATTGGGCCAGCTGGTGGCATGGTGGTTAAGACAGCTAGGTCCCACATGGCTAACTGCATGGGTTGAGTCACAGCATGCTGGGTACATGTGCATGTGTGCCCCAAATCCTGAAAGGAGTAATGGAGAAGGGATTGTGGTGTGACCCATCCCCCACGAGGGCTGTTTTCTTACTTTCCTTCTTTCTCTGTCTCTCTCTGTGGTGAAGCATGAGCAGTTTGGAAAAAATGTTAAAAACAGCAAGAAGTATTTGATAGCAATATCCTACTTTGGAGATGTATTTTATCGTGTGTAGTATACTCAGAAGTCAGCTAATTGGGCTCTAATGACATTAGAAAGTAAGCACGAGTTTTTTCTAAATATAATACAAGAATAAAATTTCTTATTTCAGGACCAGCAGATTGCATAATGGCTATATTGCTGGGCTCCCATGTCGTCAACCATGGTTCAAGTCCTGGGCCTGGTGGCTTAAACTCACGCTGGGCATGTGTGCGTGTGTGCCCAAGATCCCAAGAGGAGAATAGAGGAGAAGGGACTGCGGCATGACCATCACCCTGGGGTGTGTGTGTGGGATTTCTGGCTTTCTGTCTCTCTGTGTCTTTTTGGCGAGTGCACACACCCTATAGCAAAAAGTCTCAAAAAAATTTTAAAAAGAATTTCTTAATTTCAACTCATCTGACTAATGTTAAGAATTAGCAAATTAAGGGGCCAACAGGTGGTGTGGTGTTTAAAAAAGATGCTGGATTCCCACACAGCTGACCATGGTTTGAGCCTCGGAACTGGTGGTTTGCTCACTCTCTATCCTTTTCTTGTCAAATTAAAAAATAATAAGAAGAAATAAAAAAATACATAAATAAATATTAAAGAAAAAAGAATTAGCAAAGCAAAAATATAGCACTTGGGGACAGCAGGTGATGTGGTGGTTGGGGCACTGGACTTCCATGTGGCTGTCTGCGGGCCAAGTCCCAGACCCAGCAGCTTGCTTTCTCATTTTCCCTTTCTCTTTCTGTCTCTCTCTGATGAGTGCATATGCCCTATAGCAAATTAAAATAATAATAATAATAAATAAAATAAATCTTTAAAAAATGTAGCATTTGTCAAAGTGTAGATTAAGACAACAAATATGTTTGGGTTACATTTGAATGAAGTTTTGCACTAAAATATCTGCAATATCTGTAAAAAACTGTCATACCTTATAATTATATCCCAATACACTATACTATGTAAGAAAATTCTAGTTAATAAAAAAAGTTATTTTTAGTCAATGAGGACATATGTAGCACAAATTAAGCTGTTACACTTTATACTAACCAAATTATTCATAAATATATATATTCAGCTCAATATATTTTTCATAAAAAGCATATTGAACTAAAGTTGTATCTCTTTCCACTTAATTTTCTGTGATATAGTCAAGTGGGCATATATCAATATTTAATTAACATTAAAAACAAAACTCAATTTTATTCTACTCTATTTCTTAAACATTTGAATTCTGTTCAAAGAAAAAAGGTAATATTTTAGCCAATTATCTCCACAAAACAGTATTTGAAAATAACTGTGCTTTGAATTTTTTTCATTTAATTTTAATAATTTTAAATGCCAGTCTTGACAAATAGTCCATATTGTTTAAATTTGTTTTAAACAGTTTTCTTTTCAATTTTAATCACTTTTAATTTTCTTGTCGTAATCAGGTTTTTTTAAAAATAATTATTTATTTAATTTTATTTATTCATTCACTTATTTTTAACTTGACCAGAGAGAAACAGAGAGAGAAAGAGAAAGGGAAAGTTAGAAAGCAAGCCACCAGGTCTGGGAATCAAACCATGGTCAGCCATGTGGGACTGTCCAGCGCCTTATCCACCACACCACCTGCTGGTCCCTTTATGTCAGTTTTCTAAAACAATGTTATAAAGGACATTACTGAGTCAACTGACAAAAGCAGAATATAGATGGTAGATTAAATACTGTTAATTTCCTGAAACTGCTAAATGCACTATGGTTATGTAACAATATCCTTACTCTTAGCAAATATTCTTGAAGTGTTCAGAAGAAAAATTGTGTGTGTGTGTGTGTGTGTGTAAAATGGGAGAGCACATGGGTTAAAATATTAATACTAAGTATGTCTGGGTAAAGGGCTTAGAGATAAATTATTCTTAGTAATGAAACTTTTCTATAAGTTTAAAATGATTTCCATTAAATAGTTTAAGACAAAATACAAATTCAAGTTTGTTTTGTTTTGTTTTTCATTTTTGCTATAGGGTACGTGCATTCAGCCAGCACAGTGTCGGGGGAGAGATCACACCCCCCGGGGTGGATGATAGCACTGCAATCTCTTTTCCATTCTCCCCTTGGGACTTTGGGCACACATCTTGGCCATGAGAGATCCAGCTGCCCCAACTACCATGCTACCTGGTTGGCCCCAAATTCACTTTCTTTTTTTAAAAAAAAAAACTATGAGTTCAGTTACTTTTCTAAGTATTATAATAACATTGTTTATTTGCACTAATGTGTTTATGCCTATCCGTCTCAGCAGGGCCAATGTACATTCACATATCTCTAAAAGATGGCTATCTGGGTCATAAAACGGATCAGATCACTAAACAGAGGCAAACAAGCTACTAGTAAGAATGAAAGCAATGGTCTAAGTCGTGGTATGTTATGTCTATACTTTAATTAATAATGATTGCCATTCTTATTACAGTGTTCAGAAATACCAGGGTATATTCTTTCATCTTCTTATAGGGAGAAAAAATGGCCAATCTTGGTTTATATAAATCTGAAATACATTTATCCCCATATAGTCTACTGATAATTACTTTTTATGTATCATCTACAAAGATTTGTCATAAAATTATATTGATTTACAAATAAATCAGTAGTTCATTATTAGAAATTATTACCTGTTTGCTTTTACTAGCTTCATTTTCACAAGTCCAAAGTTCTTCAAAAATCACTCTGCAATGCATTATTAAACTTGCTGTCTGAGAGGTCGACAAGGGATCCCAAATGAATTCTACAAAGTCTGAAACAAAGATATCAGTGGTATACAATTTATTTACACTTCTCCTGTGCATATAACCAAGGCCTTCAGCAAAATACTTTTCTTTAAACTTATTTTAAAACTCATGGGCAATTATTCCCATACATTGCTTCCTTATTCTTCCTGGGCTCTATTGAACTGATCTGGCTACAACATAACCCCAGTTGGATCCACCTTGTTACCAGATCTGTGTCAGTAACTATGAATTGGGTGTTCAGGAAAGTCATGGCACACATGTATTCTATCATTAGCACAGCAAGTTAAAAGCAGTTAACTTTTTTTTTTTCTTAGTTTGGTGGAGACTTTTGCTTTAGGGTGTGTGTGCTCCCTAAAGTGAGAAAGACAAAGACAAATGAGAGAGAAAGTGAGAAATCACCTCCAAGGGGGAAGGCCACACCGATCCCTTCTCCTCCGTTCTCCTTATGGGATCTTAGGCACACATGCATCCACATGAATTTCAAGCCACTAGGTCCAGGACATGAACTGTGGTTGGCCATGTGGGAGTCCAGAGAGGTAACCACAACACCATCTGCTGGTCCCCAAAAGGAGTAACTTTCTAATACCCTCCACAAATGTACTGCAAGTTTCAATGAAAAACATCTTTACAGTTTGTTTAATCAAGTTGGCATAGCAATATAAAGCTGATTGCTTCATCTTTTAAAACAGTGCTCTACAGTCTTTACTTTCAAAATTCATTCATAGTGACACTATGAAACAAATCCTAACAAGTATAATTTCAAGAGTCTTTGGATTTTTAAAGTCTGAAGCCCAGACATTAGTGCTAAATGCTTAGAGTTGCTAGTGGCAAGTACGAAAGAAACAGTAATTTTTTCAAAGAAATGGAGAAGAAATTAGAAATACAACGGGAGACGTTAAGGGAAAGAAAGGGATTAATGTACCATGTTTGGAAATGTGCCCTGCAATGACTTAGGTATCATGAAAACCAGCAGTAATGTCACAAATACTAACACTCAGAATACCAGCAGCGTGGTAGCCAACTACCTGCATAAATAAGCATTTTTTTAACCAGCCGAAATTTGACATGTGTTGATCTTTACTGCATGTAACATTTCTTTACAAAAACTTCCAAGGCTAGCCAGTGGCACAGTGGTTAAGGTGGCTGAGTCCCACATGGCTGACAGCATGGTCGAGTCCTGGACTCAGCAGCTTGGAAAACATGCTGGGTGTGCATGAGTGCACAAAATCTCTTAAAAAAAAAAAAAAAGAAGGGACTGTGGTGTGCTCATTCCCGCTGGGGGTACTTTCTCTCTCTCTCTCTTGCAAGCACATGCATCCTAAAGCAAATTAAACAAACACAAAAATCTTCCAAAAAAAGTTATACCCTGTTAAAGAACAATTTAATTTTATCAAGATTATAAAGCAGTACCTGCAAGTCGAGGAATAATTGTTTTGTTGATGATAACCAACAAGATTTTTCTATCAGAACTGTCTTCCTTCGAATTTTCCACACCACTATCCATAAATTCTTCTATAGATTTGAACCATGCCATCTGTTTTAAACCTATGGAATCCAACTTACAAATGAGATTATAAAAGTTATAAATAAATCCTTAAACAACAGTGTATTTTAAAATATAATTAACTTTCTCAATAACCTTAATGACTTCTCTATCGCTAAGAGGAGAATAAATCCGTATTTTAACACTATGTATGTAGCTAGAACACCATGGGTAAAAGGATGACATGACCAAGACATGGTGTCTAAGGAACAGGATGACAAGCCACACTGCATGCATTCACTTGCACACTACTCAACGACTGCCTGACACATGCCAGGACCATCAGCGCCTCTCCTATGGCAAGTACTCTGCTAGGAGCAAATTACACATTTGTTATAGGCACCTGACATAGCCATGGAATATGATTATAAAAATACACCCACCTCAAGCAAAATTTACTTCTGGTTTTCTTTAATTAATTCCTGTAAGTCTAAATGTATAATTTTCCTGTGGTTTAGCTGATTAGGCAGATAGCAGATGGCATGTTATTATTTGTTGAATGAATAAATGAAAAGTCTCTCCTAGGCATACCCAATTCATCTCAAACAGCCATTTAAAAATTAGGCTTATGCCCAAAACTACTTCATACTTTCTTAAGGATAAGCTTGGCACCTGTACTATGAAGACTCTATGGCCCTGAACTTAACCTAAAGCCAACAGGCATGGATGACTAAGAGAAAGACAAGGCCATGGCTCTATTCTTCACTTTGTCAAATCTTTATTTTCAGCTCTTCTCTCTTCCTCAAACTCATTTTCTCATTTGTTTGCTTATTAGGCATATCCATATAGCTGTCCCATCATTTCTTTACCCTAAGAAGTAAAACTTCCTTCAGATCCTTCTCTCTCTTTCTGAAGAGTTCCCGTTTACATTAATGGAACTACTATTCTTCTAACGATTGAGAATCCAAACCATAGGGTTATCTTTGTATTTGAAGGGTTAAATTATACTTTACATTTTCCTAATTCTTATTTTATCACATTGTTGGGAATGTCATGATGCAGTTTTGCATAGAAAAACATAGAAAAATACATCATAACTTTCCTGATGACCTAATACAATTCTTGTAAGCAATCCTTTGTCCCGTTTGCCACTATAACCCTGTGTGAGGAATCATCACCTTGAATTTGGGCTACTGTAACTGTCTTGTACCTCTTACTTCCCTCTCAAGCATTCCCTACTGCCAGGACTTCCGAAACCATTATTTATCATGTTACTCCTCCCATATTTATCCAAACAAGTTCCTGTCTTTTAATTTGGGATCTGAACATCTATACAATCTCTAGCCTCAGCCTTAAAAATCCAATGAGAGCTGAGAAAGGCAGAATAAAGCTTAAGGCACACAATTATAGATTCTTGGTCTAAGACCCTAAATTTTAGCTCTAAGGATAAGGAGTTTTACAGATAACCTCACGGCAAAAGAATGTAAGTAACTAACATGGTCAGGATAATTTTTTAACATATTCAACATAAATACCTTAAGAGGATTCCAACCAATCAACTGCACTCGTATTAGGGGATTTAAAAGTTTTGGTATGCATAAGCCAATGAAAGCTTCATAATAGGAATCAGGAAACTTTTCTCGCCATTGCTGAAATTTCAACAAAATATTCTGGATGTTACAAAAATCATCATGCACATCTTCAAAAATTTTCTTATGATCCTGTAAAATGTCACCTGTAAACAAAATGAGCCATTTTTTATTATGTGGTTTAAGTGTGTGAAATGTAAGTCTATTTTCTTACAAACATAGCTATATATGACTACGATCAATGGAACTGAAAATGTTTCTTTTATATGCAGTTTTTATGTAACAAAAGTAATCATATGGACACTAATAAAATCTATCATTCATTGGGAGCCCATTACATGCCAATATACTACAAATACATAATCTCAGTTCGCCATTATAACTATCTTTCCCACAAGGTAGGGATAGCTTCCTTATTTAGAGACAATCCAACAAACATCATCGGATTTAGGGAGGTTAAGAAATTTGTTTAAGATCACACAGAATACAGCCTCTCTTTGAACCTAAATTGATTAAATTCCAAAACTCAGAATCTTTCCACTGAACATATCTTACTTCACTATAATACTAAAATTGGTTTTATTAAATTGAGCTGTTTTAAATAAAAAATAATAGCATTGGAAGTATGAGGTAAAGAAATGAAACCATAATGTTCCATGTGTAACAGGAAATGCTTTGGGGACAAAAAAATACCATAAAGATCCAAGAATAATCTCAGTGCTTCTCCATTTTAATCCACTTTTTCAGAAGTAGGTAAAAAGCATTTTCCATTTTCTCTGAACTTTCCCAACTCTTTTATAAAGTTTATGTATTTAAGGGCAAGCACAGCAAAGCATTTCCCATCATTTCAATACTTTAAACCAAAACATATTAGAAACTTGGGTAACTGACCTTGGCTTTTTTGAAAATCAATCATCTCTGTAGAAGATAGTTCGTCATCACTAGATGTCCCTTCCTGATGGTTACTAGTCCCAGAAAGTGTCCGGGCTTGTCTTCTTTGTGCCCTTAATTTTGCAATAAACCAAAAATAAATGAAAAGCAAATAGTTCTTGCTGAAAATAAATGCTTTCTGACGAAGAGAAGTAATTTTACCAAAAAATTAAGATGGCTGGAAACATACCATCATATTAGCATACAATTTTGTTAATACTTTTAGCTACCATTAGTTTGAGTTTGTAATTCTCCTTTTTCTCAGAAGACATTCCCAGTTAGGGTATTCTAACAGGCTAACCAGTCCCAAGAGGGTAACCATGTAATCAGGACCAGTTTCCAGCTATGAGCAATTTCCAGCTTGATGAATGCATTTTAGCCATTACTTTTAACTAATCTGAATACACAGTGTGTCTGCAAAATGGGAAGACTTAACTAAATTTTGCTTTTGCATTATCCTCACAAATTAGTATGTCAGGTCATGGTTAGTTATGCTTAAGTAGTGAAAAGTACTTGCTCCATGGTGCTTTAAGTCTTCACTTTATATAGCTACCTTCGAGATTCAATTTCTTCTAAAATCCACTGAGTTTTTTCATCTATAGCCAAGCTTCCATTTGATGTCGTCTCAGCTTTGCCTGTTAATAAATAGAACTGATTTTGTACTATGAATTCTTTTTTTTGAGAGGTTTTCGCTATAGGGGGCGTGCACTTACCAGACAGACAGAGACAGACAGAGAGACAGAAAGAGAGAAATCACCCCCCAGGGGGGATGGTCACGCCGCAATCCCTTCTCCTCCATTTTCCTCTCGGGATCTCGGGCACGCACGCACACGCACCTGGCGTGAGTTTTAAGCCACTGGGTCCGGGACGCGAACCGCGGTCGACTATGTGGGAGTCCAGTGATATAGCCATTACGCTAACTGCTGGTTCCCATGTACTATAAATTCTTAACAGGAACAAATGAAATACTCTGAAATAAAGATAATATTCTGGATGTGCATACACATGTATTCACACGTGTGTGTGTGTGTACATAAATGTACACAATACATACAATGTGCCTGAATTCTGTATTTCATTATGCAATGAAATTTCAATGTTATCTTCCTATTGCAATATTAACAGGCATTAAGTTTTATTAGCTTAAAAAATGAGTTTGGCACTTGAGAATGACTATAAAATTCTATTATGAAGTTTCTTTCCCACATTCCTTTTAGCAGTCTCACAAGTTTTCTCCATAGTCATGTACTAAAAATATCTCCACTACCCATATCTTATTGATATTATTTCCTATAATGAGTCATTAGAAAAGTCATGATACATTTTTGCATAAACATGCAGAAAAATAGGTCATGCCTTTTGATTTTTCCAATGACCCAATAGTATATTATTTATGACCAACTAAATGTTCTGTGTTTAAAAGTCACTTTGACTCTGCTTTTATCAGCTACTGTGGTATGGTCTTATCTCTTTCACTCTCTCCTGACAGTGCTTTCATCAAAGGACAGCATCTCTGAGAATACAAAACCAGAAGGAGAACTAGAAGGAAGCATCCAAATGTTATATAAGATCTTACATGGATCTATACTGAAATGCACCAGAACTAAGCAATGGAAAGACCCTGAAAAACCATAATTAGGTATCTTACAGGTTCTATAGATTTATGTAAACTCATCTCAAAATATTTATAAAATGGTCATATACATATTTTTCCTAAAATACTAAATGATTAGAATTTACAATGTTTATTTTTTAGTCTTAGACCTCATTTAAAACTTTTTCAAACCCTACCTGTAAATGTTTTCGGTTTTTGGAAGAGGGTAGGTAAGGGGTTATTGGGAAAATAAACAAAATTTACTATGCAGGAATAAAACTATTTTTATCTATTACAATTTAGCTTAATTATATTGAATATGACAAACACTAACGGGATAACTGTTGCAAATATGATGATTCGTGCTTTAATTCATCTTGCCTGCGTTTCAGAAAAGTCATAGCTTGTTTTGAAAGGAGTGTGTGCATGGACGACTCTATTTCTTGGATGATGACAATCTGAAATACATTGATAATAAATTACAGTAAGTATTAAAGAGTAACACTTAGAAGATAATGAAGCACATGTATATGCTCAATTCTCATATAAAGAAACATTTCCAATATTAGTTACATCTCTGTTATAAAACACTGTCAGCATCAGACCTTGCTGCCAATACTTTTAATATTAAAAAACACAGAATCAACTTATTATATTGGAACAGCTATAAACACCATGAATAATAAAACCAAGTGAGATGCAGTCAGGAACATGCATATCAGTGATAAATTGTTTGAGACAGATGAGGAGGAGGAAATGAGAGGCACAGCTGAGGAGCTGGACAGTGAGGGGCAGTTGAAGAAACCGGTGAAATCTGAAAAACCGAAAATACCTAATCAGAGATAGGTAAGAAAGCTGAAATGCAGAAATGAGTGACCAGCTGAAATTGGAACCTGTGTTTATTGGGCAACAATTCCCACTCCGGAGATGCTTCATAGCTGCTGATGGATACAGCAATTTGTTTCTGGCAAGATTTTAGAAGTGTGATTCTTTAATACTGAATAATAAAAGAAATTACTCTGGAATAAAGACTTCAGAAAGTAATTACCAAATGGCATTATTAAGGTAGCCAACTTAAAACAATAGAGTACAAAGCATCCAACTGCTGGGCAACATTTTAATTGCTGAATAAAAAATAATATGGCAAGTAGAATTTATTTTCAAGTGGTTGATCTATTTTTAAAAGAGGACAGCTGGACATCTCAAAGTAAGGATTTAGTATACAAATAACAAAAACAGAAATTATAATGTGAAGGTTTCATAAATCTGATCACAAAATAATTTCAAAAAACCCAGATGGGAAAAAAAAGAAAACCCAAAAAACTATTATAAATAAAGCCAAAAGATGAAACAAACGGGTTTTTATCTACATTTCAAATAGGATAAAGCATTAAACATTTTAAATTATAATTGTTTATCTGAAGAAAACTGAAAAAAAAATCCCACTAGGAATCAGAAAAGATAACAGAACAAAAGACAAATAATTCACAAGGCAAACTATGTATAGTTAACAAAGCAAAGAGTTTGTTTCAGAACAAAATACAATATATAAAAACAAAATCCATTCTCCCCACAAACTAGTAAACTAACAAAACTGGCACAATTTTTCTGAAGCATAATTTGGGAATATATTTCATAAGCCTGTAAAATATTTAAACAATTCCTATTCTCTGACTTCATCATATAGAAATTTTTCTTAAAAGATGAAAAAAAAATTTTTTTGAGCTTTTTTTTGCTATAGGGCGTGTGTGCTCACCAAAGAGACAAGAGACAGAGAGACAGAAAGCGAGAAATCATCCCTCAGGATGGGGAGGGGGGTATGGCCACGCCCCAATCCCTTCTCTTCCATTCTCCTCTCAGGATCTGGGGCACACATGCACACAAGCCCAGTGTCAGTTTTAAGCTACCAGGTTGTCTCGAACCACGATTGATTACATTAAGAGTCCAGTAACATACAGATGAAATTTTAACATAAATATTTATATGCAAAATTTTACGGTATTACTTATAATGGCAAAATTACTAACCCCCTCCCCCCAATGTCCAACATTAACTGAATGCTTAATATAAGAGTATATAAAGACTGTACAGTGGCAGCCAGCAGGTGGTGGGGTAGTTAAGGCATTGTATTATACCACCTGCCGGCTGCCACTGTACAGTCTTTATAAACAAAAACAAAGACAAAAATAAACTGCTCACAAAAATGACTGAAGAAAAGTATTTAATCGTAGGGTTTTGACTTTCCTTACTTCCATGGTATAGGGGATTCTCCAGAAAGAAGAAATTATGTCAATAAATATTTGTATGTACCTTTTCATTAAGACAGTCAATTAAATTATCCACATAAATTTTCATGCTTTTATAGAATTTATAATTTAGAGCTTGATCTGATGAATTCTCTAGATTCTGAATTGTACTCTTTGAGCTCTTGACATCTTGTTTACATTTTTCATATTCCCTCAGGTGTGAGCGGTGAGTATCCTGTAGTAATGTTAATCTAAATAAGTAAAACAAAAATTGCTTTATTTTTCAAAGATTTTTTTTTTTTTAATACAAGCCTAATGCAAATGTTCCAAAAAAACCATGAGGAAACTGCAGACTGCATAAACCTGGGTTTATTGAGTTTTGCTAACCAGAGCAGTACAATAAAAAAAGAGGTCTTGAAGTAGAAAGGTGGGAAAGCTCACTTACAGATTTTTTTTTTTTTTTTTTTTTTAGGATTTCTATCGTTTAATTAATTCAGTCATATTCTACCATTTTTTATTTCCAAAACCACAGGGCACTACTTTGAAGATCTCCATTCATTTTTTAACTTGTGATTTTGAAATAATTATACATATGCAGGATTTGTAAGACAGTACATAAAAGTTCTGTTGTCTTTTGCATTTTAGTTTACTAAAGTTCCGTATCCAAACCAAGAGCATGGTGTTGGTATGATGTCTAGGTACAGTTTCATCACATGTGTACATTCCCATGGCTACCTCCATTATCAAGATACGGAATGTTACTATCACCATAAAGATTTCCCTCCTTTAAAATCACACCTACCTCACTCCCTCCAATACTCTCACCTTCTTTTCCTTTTTTTTTTTAAATTTCAATTTATTTATTTGCATTCATTCACTACATCATTACAGCATACAAAATGAGATTTTCCATCCAGAGTACACTGTATATTGTCTTAATCAAGCACATCAACAAACATGTTATTGTCAGCAAATGATCTTCCATTTCTTGTTTTCTTTATGTTTTGCTCCTCCCCCCATCCTTGATTCCCTATCTCTTGCCCTCTGCCATCTCCCACTCTCCTCCCACACTGTCTCCGGTATCTATGTTTGCTTTTTATACTGTTTTTCCCCCTCATTTTATTGAATCACCAAAGACCCTAATCAATCCAAATACCCTCATAGCAAACACAGGTGACATACACATTTCCATGAGCACAAGTCTAACTTTATGCTTCCTATAAAGTAGCACCTAGCTGGGGCTATATATCTTACTGCAGTCATTGAATAGATATTTTTTTCCCTGAAACTATTTTTTGTAATTCAATTTACATTCCTTCCCTAAGCATCATCACAGCATACAAAATGTGATCTCCCATCCAGTACACACTGCATAGTGACTCGATCATGCACATTATAAAAAATTTTCCATTTCTAGTTCCTAGAATTATTTCCACCCCTCTTTCTGACCCTATGTCCCTTCCCACTCTCCTCTCACACTACCTCCAGTGTCCACAATTGTCCTCCATTTCCTTCCTGCCCACAATGAATTGATCACACAATTTCCTACATAATCTAACTACTTTCAGTGGTGAGTTCACTCATTACTACTAAGAAAACCAGTTTTAACTTAAATCAAAGAAACGCCAAGGAACTTTGCTTAAAGCCAGGAAACAAGTTAGGATTCTGTTCAAATGGTAGGTGCATGAACCTATCAGTCTCATGTACTTTTATCTTCTGTTCTGGTTCAATTTTCCTGATTAAATTCTGGGATATAATATTCAACTCCAGACTTGTCCCTATGATTAAGTTGGCCACTTTCTTAGTTTTTGAACTCTTATTTCCTTGTGTCTGTATTTAATTTTCCTGATACAGCACACCCTTGAGAACTTCTTGGAGATCTGGTCTGGTGCTGGTAAATTCTTTCAGGTTTTGTTTATCTGAGAATGTTATTGTCTTTTCTTCCCACCTGAAAGATAATCTTGCCAGGTACAGTATTCTTGGCTGAAATTGCTTCACTTACAGATTTTTAAGGACTGGAGGTAATTGTAGGCTAGTTTGAAAGTAGAAGTTAATGAGTGTATGAGTGTGGGTTTATTTTTAGGGCAGGATTGATCAGAATTAGAAACTGTGAGTGGCAAGAACAATTGGTGGTCTTATATTTTAAACACAAGAATCCATGTAGAGTTTTAGTTGGATCAATCTATAGTCTTCCCTGGAATATAGGTATCTGAATGAGCTGGTGTTAAAACCACTGCCAAAAAAGAAAAAAAAAAAAAAAAGGAAAAAAAAAAAAAGGCTTATATGTTCAACATTAACTGAATGCTTAATATCAGAGTATATAATGACTATACAGAGGCCCAGTAGGTTAAGGTGCTGGACTCCCATATGGACAACTGCAGTTTGAGTCCTGAACCTGGTAGCTTGAAAATCATGCCAGGTGCATGTGTGTGCATGCCCATCACCTCAGGGGGTGATTTCTCACTTTCCCTGTCTGTGTTTCTCTCCAGCAAGCACATGTACCCTTTTTGAGGCCTGGCCTTGTAGCCTAGTGGGTCAGGGAGCTGGATCCCACATGACTGACCACAGTCTGAATATCAGCCCTGGCGGCTTGTAAAACACACTGGGTGTGTTTGTGTGTGCATGCCCAAAATTCCAACAGGAAGAAGAAAGAGAAGAGAAGGAATTATGATGGGGAGTGATTGCTCTCCCTTGCTCCATCTCCCTCTGGTAAGTATACATACCTGCCAGCAAAAATCAAAGGCAAATAAAAACCCCAAACTCATTTAGACATGTTACAGTTTAGTCTAATTTTTCTGTTTTGGGATTTGTAACGGTTTCTGTTTTATTTAACATTAGAATTTCATGTTCTTGGAGGTATAGTCCATTTCCTCTGTTGCTACTCTATTAAAGACAGATAGCCATTGTCTTTCAGCTTGTGGGAGTATTCCATGTACCAACTGATGTTACATTTAAAAAGTCAAATATAGGGGCAGGCAGATGGTGTAGTGGTTAAGGGCACTGGACTCCCACATGGCTGACTGTGGTTCGAGTCTCAGACCTGGCAGCTTGTTTTCTTTTTCCCATTCTCTCTCTCTCACCCTGCCTCTCTCTGGTCAAATTACCATACATATATACATAAATAAAGTTAAATACATAATTTTTTTCATAATTATTTTTTTTAAAAAAGTCAAATACGATTGAGTGACTGCTGGTATTTTAAAATTGATTATTGGGATAGACAGTGACACAGAAATAAAGTGTGATGCTCTGTGAGGCTATTCCACATGGGAAGGTTCTAGGTTCACATCCAGAGAACTCCCTGAACACACCAAGCACATATGCCCATGATCTGGGGATGGATTATGGGATCAAGACCCTACGGGAGGTACTGTCTCTCTATTCCTCACGAAGAAATAAGTACACTTTTAAATTCAATGATCTGTCATATATACATGCCAATGAAAGAATCAGAAACACTGCCTCTTTAAAAATATCTGGAATGTATTTTCTACTATTATCTGACTCTGTGAGTGAATTAGAGAATTAACTAAAAATGGGATAACAAATATTTAGTATGTAGACCTAAATCAGACTTAAGTTTTTAATTCTTCTTGTTAACCTGATCCATAATAGAAATTCTAATATCTGCCTAGGGTAAATATCCTCTCTGAGCTTTTATGCATTTTTCTTTCAAAGTCTGTCCTTGCTTTATGTAATGAGCACTTAAGGTTTAAGATATAAATAAAAATAATAATGTACAGCAGGCAATAATAACATTTTTTTTTAGTTTCCTGAGGGTGTACGTACTCATCAGAGGGGGACAGAGAGAGAGCAAGTATGCGCACTCTCCAATAGGGTGTGGTCACACTTTAATCCCTTCTCCATTTCTCCATCTTGTCAGGATTTTGGGCATGCATGTGCATGTACCTGGAGTGTTTTTCAAGCCTCTGGAGCCAAAATTCTAATGGCAGGGGAACCAGCAGTTAGCATAATGGCTATGTCGCTGGACTCCTATGTAGTCGACCGCGGTTCGTGTCCCGGACCCAGTGGCTTAAAACTCACGCTGAGTGCATGTGCGTGCGTGCCCAAGATCCCAAGAGGAGAATGGAGGAGAAGGGATTGCAGCATGACCATCCCCCCTGGGGGGTGATTTCTGGCTTTCTGTCTGTCTGTCTGGCGAGCGCATGTGCCCTACAGCGAAAAACCTCTCAAAAAAAAAAAAAATTCTAACGGCAGTCAGTTATGTGAGATCATGCTTCCCTTTACCACCAGGACATGAGGCAGGCCCAATAACATATTTTAATTAAATACACATTACTGGCTATTACAGTAAACTTGTAAGTATGTAAAGCTAGGTAGAGAACAGGGCATATAGTGTTTGTCCTCTTTTTTTGTATATAAAATGCAGCAACGTATGCTTCTATATATACGCTCATATAGAGAACTGCTAAAAGGTAACACAGGAAATGGTGGCAATGGTTTCCTCTGAGGAAGCTGACTTCTTTTCCTTTGAATATCTTTTTGTTGATTTTTATTTTTTTTCTTAATCATGAGTGTATTTTCTTTTAAAATAAAGAAACTTTGGTTAATACAAAATACAATTAAGTTAAAATTAACATTTATTTAGATTAAATGAAATACTAATCTAAATCAGTGATCTACAGCCTTTTTTTATGTTATCGCTCATGTGATGTAATTCTCTCAAACAAAATCTCTTAACGACCATATCAATTCTGTGTTATATGCAATTCTAGATACAACACTGTTAAAAGATGTCATTCTGGGCCAGCAGGTGGTATGGAGGATAAGGCCACTGGATTCCACATGGCTGACTGCACCATTTGAGTCCCTGACCCAGTGGCTTCAGAGTGTTGCTGGGTATGTGTGTATATGAGTGCCTAAAATCCTGAGAGGAGAATAGAGAAGAAACTGTGGCATGGCCATCACCCAGGGAGGTGATTTTTCACTCCCCTTCCTCCCATGTCTCCCTCCGGTGAGTGCATATGTCCTACAGATAACTAAAATAAAAAAGATGTAATTCTGTCTTCTTCTAACTTAGGAAGCTATGTAGTAGCTTATATGCCAATAAATAATAATGAAGACATTATAGAAATAATCCTGAATCTGTTAATAATCTCATCATTTAACATACACTGATGAAAAACATTAATTTAGAACAGGAGTCAGCAAACTTTATTCTGTAGAAGTCCGGATAGTAAATAGTTTAGGCTTTAAGGACCAGATGATTGCTGCTACAAATAATCAACCCTATACTGTGCTGTACCACAAATGCAGCCATGTACCATAAACATACAACATGCCATGTTCCAACAAAACTTCACTTACAGAAATAGATAGGGTGGTAGTTTGGCAACTTTATAGAATATAGAGATAACCTAATTACTAAAACTTAGTACATCTTAAAATTTTCAAATATATGTTCCACTAAAATATGCTACCACATATTCTTCCAAATCTTCATTTAAATGAAAAACTATAACCAACATAATTTAGGTGAAGTATGGCTAAGGAATGAAGCTATCCTAAACCTGGTTCATAGAAAATATACTGGAGAAGAAAATTTTGAATCTATTCTCAAGAAATAGGAAAAAATACATTTGAAAAACAACTCAAATGTTTTTCAATATACCTGTGTTGGCTAACCAAACCTTTTTTGTTTGTTTGTTTGTTTTGCTAGAGGTTCTGTGACTCTCACCAGAAACAGACAGAGAGGGAGAGAGGAAAGCATTCCCGTGAAGAATGACCATGCTGCATCCCACCCTGTTTTTTGGGATTTTGGACATGCACGCACGTGTTCAGCATGTTTCTTAAGCTGCTAGGTCCGGGACTTGAACTGTGCAGTCTAATCATCTGATCACAAAGCCCGCTGTGAACCCTCTTTTTGTATCTATTATAAAAACTAATTAAACATTTACCATCGCAGTAGCTCTTTCATCCATCTAATGATACAAACTAGATCCTGAGTAGTTCAATCACACACACTGAAAACAAAACCATTATGGGGTTTGCCTTAGTTCCAGCAAAAATATCATTTATATTAAAATTAGTACTATTTACTTAAAAGGCAAATATTAATACTGGTAGAATAAAATATAGCCATGCTTTAATCTGTACCAACCCATAAAAATATGACCTTTACCAAGGTTAAGTTTTCCTAGAAATATATTTTAAGGAAAAAACCCCTAAAAGACCAGAAGATCAATAGGAAGAATATATTCATTATCTTTAACATGATGTATCAGAGAGAAAATTTTAAAATTAAAATGTCTAACAGAAAAATACTTAGGATGTATCAACTATATGAACAAATATGGAATAATTTTTAAATGAGATTATTTAAAACTGTATAAAATGCTTATAACCATTTAAAACTGTATAAAAATGCTTATAACCATATTAAGTTAAAAAAAAGAATTTTATTTTTACTTATTTCTAACCATGTAACATGTATCTGTTATAAAGACTAAAAAAGACTGCAGAAATGAAATCAGTTGTGCTAGTTCGATAACACAAGACATGCTATTTTCTTCTGAAAAATCTGTTTAACGTTAAATTTAACAATTAAGAAGAATACAGCGCTATTTTTCATTATTAAATATCTAGGAGAAATGTAAACTTTGAAAGTGAGTATTACTCACCTAGTATTTAGTTGCTTCTTTATCAGTTCTAAATTTATGGGTGGAAATGAAATAGAAGTATCAAATTTCCTCACTGTTTGAGGTTCTCTGCTGTGGGAAAGGTCTATGTTTCTTCCCTAAGAGTAAAATGAAAACTTACTTTTAAAAAAGCACTTTGTTTACTTCATAAACGTTAATGCATGAAAGGAGACACAATAATCCAAGGTCTCTTCCAACTAAAAAATTCCATACATCTATAATTTTTCATGGTCACAGTATAGTATTTTAAAAATCCTTATACTTTTAAATTTCAGAACTTTAAATTCACAAGTAAGAAGCAAATTTTAAAAATATCATCATCCACATTTAGTCTCTACGTCATTAAGGCTAATCCTGTTTACTGTACTGTACTCTCAGCTTCACGTGGTTTTTGAAGCAGCCTTAGCCCTTGACCAATATTAATTTGTGAGATACGCAGCTGTCTGGCTAAACTAATACCTTGTTCCATGACTGAAGTAGCCACTGAACTCGAACTCTACTTTTGTCAATGAAAAATAAATAGGAGTGTCTGGAGAGTTTCCAGATAAAGCTTTTAGTATTAAGTCACTGTTACTTGGGTTTTGTGTTACCTGCAGAGGAAGACATTCCTAACTAATACATTTGTAACATGGTATATTACACAGTTCTTTAAAAGTGTTGAGAAAAGGAAGTCTGTTGTTTTAAGGCACCAAATTTGTAGTAATCTGTTATAGCAGCCACAGGAAACAAATACAGTGGGACACGGTAGAGTTTTAATAAAGGAATCAGTATGTGTACTTGCATTAGTAATAAAAAATGTAAATCAAGTGTGACATCCCATTTTTACCAGTTAAACTTGCATCTCAAGTTGGCAAAATTGTGAGATATTCCCGTATCAGTGGCATTACGGATTGGGCTAGGTTTTCTTTACTGAGTGCCAAAAAACATTCATCTCCTTTAATTAGTATTTCATTCTTGGTAATTATGTCAAAGGAATAATTAGAAAATATACATCTAAACAAAATAAAGAAGAGGGAAAGAAAAAATAAAATATTCATAAATATTCACTGATTCTGAATTCTTAGATTTTGGGAATGCATGCATGATTTTTATTTATTAATTGGAAAAAAACAATCAGAGGGTACATAACCTAAAATGTTCACTGAAAGGAAGAACTGTTAAGAAAGGTAAGATCTGGGAGGGAGGGTGTCTGTGGGTGACATAGTTAGTGGTTAGGGAGTGGGACTCCCACATGGTTGACCATGGTTTGAGTGCCAGACCTAGAGACTTGAAAATCATGCTGGGCACCTGGGTGTGCATGCCCCAAATTCCAAGAGGAGGATAGCGGGGAGGGACTGTGGTGTGGCCATCTCTCCTGGGGAGTGACTTTTCACTTTCGCCCTCTTTCTGTCGGGTGCATGCTTCCTATGGCAAAAACCTTTAAAAAAAAAATTAAAAGATGACTGATTTAGTAACTCCAATGGGTATTATGTAGCTATTATATTACTGTTAATATATCAAATAGGAAGATATTTATACTGCATTAATAAAGAAATCAGAATTCAAAATTATATGCATACTGTGGTTCCCAAACTACATGCAAAAGTATTCCAGAGAATCAAAGAGAAGTGGTGGGATACTCTAATAAATCTTTTAGGAAAATGGCAATACTTAACATTGGCTGGACAATTAGATCTAATTAGTTCACAGATGCAACATTAGAATGTGTTACATCCCTTTTGATAAAGTCATATTTCTGGAGCTGTGTTTTGAAAGATGCTATGATGAAAAGCTTGTACTGTGAAGATCAGAATAGAAATTAGAGTGGTAATGTCTAATTAGATTTCAAGGTTTGAGTAGTCACACAGAGCCCAGTGTGTGTACACATCCCATTAATAGTAACTGTGGTTACATAAAGAGGACATAAAAAAGACTTTTTCTTCAATTCATCTGCATTATTGTATCCGAATGCCTAATAAGATATTAGGGCATACATTTTGTTAAGCTCTTTGGACTAAACTACTTAAGAAATGGAATTGTTTGGTACTTCTTTTGGCTTAAGGGTGCCATGATAAAATTACTGAGATGCCAATGGTTCCATGAATGAGAAAGTTTGAGAACTTCTGATGTGCACTACAATTGCCAACTGAGCTAGGAAAAAGGAACAAAAGCACACCAAATACAAAGGAGCTGTGCAAACTTGAACCATCAGAGTACAGACTGAAGTGTTTTCTTGAAGCAGTTTTTCAATTCTGTTGCTATACTAACTTACATAAAAAAGGGAGAAAAAAATCTAAGCCTGTTAACAATCATGAACAGTCAGTCCTCCAGGTCTAGCTGCAGTAGCATGTGCCAACAGACACTGCTACTTGGCAGGCTGAGGCCATGTGGGAGGCCTAGGTTCCATTCCTGCCATATCTAGTCCCAGCTATTCAGGAGGCTAAGGAAAGAGTATAACATTGTGAGACCCTGTTATTTTTTTTTTTATGTTAGAGGTAAGTGCACTTGCCAGAGATAAAGGGAGCGAAAAAAACACCCCCATGGGGAATGGTCATGCCGTAATCCCTTTTCTCTTTCTTCCTCCTTTTAAGATTTTGGGAATGCATGTGCATGGTATGTTTCTCATACCATGGGGCCAGGTACTTGAATCATCCATGTAGGAACAAGGCCAAAAAACCCACCCAATACCCTGTCTTTAAATAACAAAACAGTCTTCAAAATAATTTCTCTGGTCAGAGATGCCTATGTTATAATTACAGGCTTACCTTTACTTAGCATTCAAGTTTTAATAACGTGGAGTTCTTACAATACTTTCCCTCTTAAAAGAACAAATAAATGCTAAATGTATTCTTATTAAAAAGATTAAAATATAAAACCACATAGTTATATAGTATACTGTTTATAAGCACTTAGACTTGTATCATTTTAATTTTGACCTGTAGTCACCTATTCAGGTATGTAACACTATTATTATAGGTTGTACAAATATTTACTGAGCACTCAAAATACTAGATATTGGTGGATATAACACCTAACAAAATAGTTAACAATTTTTACCTCTCAAAAAAAAAAAAAAATCTTGAGGCCAGGAGGTGGTGCACTGGAGGCACGATTGGACCCACATGGGAATGTCCTTCCTTTGAGTCCCAAGGCCTCTCTGAGCACACCAAGCATACATACATGTCTGTCATCTGGGCTGGCAGAGACCGTGAGACCGGGGGTGGATTGTGATATGAGAGTCCAGTTGGGGGTAGCTCTGCGTCTCTGTCTCTCATTAAAGAAATGAGTATAAAATTTAAAAAGAATTGGTTAACAATTCTTGACCTCATGGAGCTTATATTCTAGCACCAAACACAGAACTCAAATACAGGACTTTTAACCCCATGTACAATACTTTTTTCGTTAGTTTTAACTTGTTATAGGATATATGCGTTTGATGGAGAGAGAGACAGAGATAGAGAGAGAAAGAGGAAGTAAGAAAGCACCTCCCCCGCCAAAGGAAAGGTGACCACACCACAATTCCTTCTCCTGTACTTTCCTCTCAAAATTTTAGGCATGCACACACATGTGCCCTGAGTGTTTTTCAAGCCACTGAGACCAGGACTTGAATTGCATAGTTGGTCATGTGGGATCCAGCTGCTTTAGCCACAATGTCACTTGGCTTTGTTTTAAATCTCATGATTTCTTTAAATTTTACTTAACACCTATCCCATATAATATAAACTATCAGTTACTATAAAACTAAAGATAAAAAAAGATACGGTCTCCTTAAATGGAAGGTGTTTATAACCAAGTACACAACAGACATAATACAAATCATGTACTGGGTTGAATGGTAGCCTTTTAAAAGATGTATCCCTGTCTTAACCCCTCAAACATGTGACTATGACCTTATTTGGAACAAAGGGTCTTTGTGCCTGTAATTAAGTGAAGTACTTATGATAAGATTATCTTATTTTTTTTTTGAGAGGTTTTCGCTATAGGGTGCGTGCGCTCGCCAGACAGACAGAGACATAGAGACAGAAAGCGAGAAACCGCCCCCCAGGCGCACGCGCCCTATAGCAAAAATCTCTCAAAAAAAAAATAAAATAAAATCATCCAGTCACAAGCCAAGAAATACCCGGAACAACCAGAAGTCAGAAAAACCAGGGAAATTCTTCTCTGAGGCCTTCAGAAGGTCAGCCTTGCTAACACTTTGATTTCAGATCTCTGGGCAAGATACTATAAGGGAATAAATATCTATAGCTTTATATCACCAAGACTGTGATAATCTGACACATATGGTATAAAACATTATTACCTTTATCATTTTAACTGCTTTCCTCATTTGTTGTTGTTCCCAAATATTCTGATTTTCCTCTT